AAACAAAAAACACAAACAAAAAACAACCCCCCTCAAAAAAAATAAAAGACACAAAAAAAGCCCCCACAACACACAAGATGATCCATTTCCCTAAACATCCCTCTGCTTACCCTCACTTCCATCTGCAAGTCAGAAGAGCCTGCTTGGGGCAGCATTTGCAAAGCCCCAGTATCAGACCCATACAGCGGTAACACCCCATGCATCTCCACTGGAGTGGTCCCAGAAATGCTTTGAAAATATATTCCACCTTCTCCAGTGTCTCCAAGCCTTCGTAGCATGCTGCAGCCATCCCTAGTGACCTCCGCCCCTCCACAGCACCTTTTGGTGCAACTGCAAAAGCAGGAGGAACACCACAAGCAGTAACTTTCATTTAATTTCAGCATTAGCATAGTTGGTAAAATAAATGCTGTTGAATCAAACTCCATTGCTTAAGAGGGAATGTGACCCAGATAAAATGTTTTCCACTGTGCCTCAGCTTTGGAGTACATCACTTCAAAGTAGCTTTTTTTAAACAAACTGGCACAAAGGATGAGTTACAGCCTGGACTTAGACTTGACTCAGACTTATGCTAGGAGTGACTGACAGTCACTTGATACCACAACTGCTAAGTGGCCTCTACAAAGCTGGTCTCTGTCCATTCTCTTCAGAACCAGATGCCCATACTACAGAAGTCAGCACAGCTGCATGAATCACTGCCCAAGGGCTGATCAGTGAGGCTCAACCGTGTCAGCCACCAGAGCCAAATGATTCTCTGAACAGCACTTAAATCTGCAATGAGCCCCATCCACGGCACAGCCAAGGTACTTTACAAGAGGCTTTTGTTTTCAGTCCAATATACACTCCCAACGGGAGTTTTTAATCTAAGGAGAATTAAAAAAACACCCACATTCCTCAACATAAAAACATAACACAGATCTTCCATTGTCTCCAACACATTTAGTCTTCAAAATCTGGTTTTGCATTATTAATATGACAGATTTTCTCAGGTTCCAGGGAAGACTGTCCTAAAGAGAAGTGGCCCGATGAGAAACACTGAATCCCAGAACTTTTATACTCTTCACCTTCTGAGAATTAAGACCCAGAAAACAAGAACTTTCAAGCACAGCCTTGCAGTCAACTTTTGAACCAGCACAACAGCATCTTAACCTTGGCTTTAGAATCCATACTTCTCAGTGGCAACCCACGCCAATTAGCACTGGCCCTACTGCTCACCTGCATCTCAGCAGGGCGTTCAGAGAATGGGCAGCAGGCAGAGACCAAGTATCACAAGGCAGAGGCTTTCAGCTGTTATACCCACCACGTCAGAAAAAAGACCTTTTACACAGGCTTTTTTGTCTGCTTGGTTTATACACATAATGCCTAAACGCCAGCCCATTACCAACATCTCCAAAAGAAGAAAAAAAAAACAACAACAAAAAAAAACAGTAAAATCAAGTCAATTTCTCTTAACTCCACTCTTCTCCCTGCCAACGTCATCAACCCATTCAGGGAAAATGTGGTGGTCAAAATGTTCCAGACAACACAAGTGCCACACAGCCTACTTGAATCTGGCTTCCACCTACATCTTGAAGAAAGAGGGGAAAAAAAAAGAAAAAAAAAAAAAAAAAGAAAAAAAAAGACTTCACACGCAAACAGTTTTCACACGTTTAATGTAATGGCACCCTAAGTATACAGTACTTTCATCTTCACTAGATACTGTGTTTCAAAAGTATAATGGGAAAAAACAAACATGAAAAAACACTGGTGCTTTTGTAAAGTTTTAGAAACTCAACCATTTGGAGTTACATATGCATAAATGCCTTTCAAAAATTGTTAAGAACTGTACTTTTTGCCCTCACACAACAACAACAACAACAAAGGTTTTGCTGGGTTTTTTCACAAGATATGGAGATCAAAGATGGCACTTAAGAACTTCTGAAGTCAGGGGTGCCGTAAGGTTATATCAGGACTTCCACTGGAGAGCCTGCCATGAAGCAAACACTATAAATAGGAAAAGAATGTGCAAGAGCTCCAAATAGGTGAGAAGCACAAGATGTTTTGCAAGCTTGTGTTCCGATAGGCATGGAGCTGCAGACTGCTGGCTGAGAAAAGCCTGCCTGAAGCTCTTCAAAGCACACCCATCATAGAAAGTCATATGGACAGCAATACACCAGATCCTGCAACACCAATGACCAGCTCTCCTTGGGATTTTACCTTGGATCAACAACCAAAACAAGCTGAAAGGTCACTTGGAGAAGACATAGGAATAATAGAAGCATTTGTTGGTTTTCCTATGACAAGTACTTAAGAGAACTAACATGGAAGCAGACAAAAATAGACAAGGCAGCAGGTAATATCAGCTAGAAAACTAGCAACCTTATCATTTCATTATCAGTTCCATACTCTGCAAAGAATTAAGGAAAACAAGTACACTTTATATGAATAAAGTTCAGAGCATCCTGAAAGAGAAGCAGCTAACCTAGAAGCAGCCAAGGACCCTTGATTTTCATGTAAAAGCTTAGCCTGAACAATGGTGAACTCATACAGCCACTTAAAACAGACTTAAATTGTGGGTGTGGCTGTTTCCTACAGTTTACAGTGCTGATTTTAACTTTTATTCCTCTAATTCAGGATTAGGAAATAGACCCAAATTCGTAACTGGAAAAAACTACCTCTGGAGAAGTCAATGGTTTCGTTCTAGTAGGAACCTGAAATATTTTTTCTCCCATGCCTAAGAACTGCTCATTCTGCTGTTTGGTTTGTTGTTTCTTTTTTAACTTAAGAAAACATTCACTAGACTAAGAAAGGCATCCTGCATCTAGAGTTGCCTCCCACCTGTAAGTTCCAGCAGTCATAATCTCTAAAGGACATTCACTAATACTCTCTTATAATTAATACTAAAGGTCACATCCTGCCAAAGACAGATGTGAACAATTCTCCTCAAATAAGTACAGAAATGCCCTCTAAAAAACTTGTTACTTGTAAGAGAAACTAATTCAGAACTTTAAAAGTTAATAATTTGTTCACTGGGATGCCCATATGATATGAATCAGGCAGATCATTTGATTCACGCACAGGACTGATGGAGTATGTTAAAGAAAACAACACAGAAAAACTATATGAATTACAGCTTTTGGCTGAATCATGTATTAATTACACAGAAGAAACTAAAAATCTCTACTTACACAGAAAAAGGGTGGAAATAACACGAACACACTCGCTCCAGCACTTTTCCTCCTACAAGAATATTGCACATTCCGATAATGTTGCACAAATTACTGGCTTTTTATAAAGACCATATATGAGGTATTAGTCTATTAATAAATAAAGAAGAACATAGAAAAGGAAAAGCACTTAATATAATGCAACAATCCATTCCAAGTATTTAGTGAATGAAAACTGAACAAGCCATACTACATACACTTGAGGGGAAGGTTGAAGTTACTCAGAGAACAGGCAGCTTTCAATATCAATCTGGGAAGCAAAGGGTTAAATCTCTTTTGATAAAGATTTTAAGAACTCAAGGCCTATTTAGAACACTGCTGATTAAAATGCTCATTTTGCTCATGTGATCAATTTGAAAGGTAAATTCTCACCTCAATTCTAAAGGGATGCCAATACACGAGTGACAACGACCTTGCTAAGGGCAGCCATTTGATATTCTAAACCTGTATTACTAGTTAAGATGTAAACTGAAATTTCTGGTTTGACATCAGTTAAGATATCCAAAAGTTTTGCTGGGGGTTTTTGTTGTTTGGGTTTTTTTTCCACTTTTGATTAGTTTAGACTAGTTATGGATTTCCTTGATGCTGAAAGTCATACCCATTAGTACTATCCTTATTAGCAGATTCCAGCACCACAAGGCATTAGATGAATATAAAAACTGTAATTTTCAGTTTTACCCTCTGTTTAATGTTAAGAATTCACCTTTCAAAATTGCAACACTGAAAAATTCTTTTTTTCTGCTGACAGGTAATAAATCTGTCAATCTAAACACGAGTTATCTATTTTTTTTTCTATTTAGACCCTTCCAGAAACACCAGGAATCTGACGGCAAGCTTATCTTGTTTAAGTTCAGAGAACAGAGGAGTATTTAAGTTCAATAAACTGAGCTCAGGAAACTACATGGTACATGTGGTAATATAAAAAGCATAAAACAAGAGTGGTTTCAGTATACTCTTCCAAGCCTTAAGCCTTGTTAAAGAGATATTTGTATTTTAGAAGGGAAAAAAAACAAACAAACAAAAAAAATCAAAACCAAACCTGTGCATACAAACTTACACACATGAATAGCCCTTAAATAAATTAAGGGTTATTCAAATCCTAATTTTTTTTCAGACCAATGAAAGGCTACTTGGAAATAAAAGTAATTCTTACATCACTCTCCTACCAAAGCACAATCTTAACATATGCCCTCTAGTTAGTTTCCAACTTCAGAAAGTGTTATTTTATTAATACATTTGCAATGCTGGACAGAGGTAAGACCCAGGTAAATAATTTCTGCTGCTATTTTATGTAAATTATCTAATTTGCACAATAAATCCCTATTAGGTCAAAACTGCAAGTGAAAACTTGGAAATACACGATAAAACAAAGCAGCACTTCAAAATTAAAGCATCTCCTCTGCTGCAATCCATTCACCAGCAACTGAAACAGTCCTGAACTAGCATATTTGAAAAAAAAAAAAAACCCAACAAAAAAAACCCAGATTACATTTCAGAAATTAAATATACATCTCTTGTGTTGAAGTTCAAATTTATGGGAAGTGTTTACTAAACTGAAATACACAATTTCTTCTGTCACATGAGATTGTTTCTCTCCCATTCTAAGTGTTACTGAGACATTTACATCCCAAATGCATGTTGTTTCTATTCTGAGGATTAGTTTCACCTACAATGTCTTTATAGCAGTTAAGTGTTTTTTAGAACAAACAGTTCAAATATTTTTTTCCACGTTAGCAGAAAACCAAGGAAGATTATGAAGATATTGAAAGAAGAAAAGAGATTAGAAGAAAGGAAACATTATTGTCCGGAACAGTCTGTGTATGTGGTAACCATGTTTCCTCGTCTCTGAGTGACAGTCCTGCAGTGCTTGCTGGATCCGTGAAACCTGCTGTCAGTTCGCACTGCATGTCGGTGTGCATTTTCAAAGTCGCTAAACGAAAACATTTTTTCCATATTTTCAAACACATCATCAAACAGTCCACCTCCAAAAGAGAACTCTTGGAAAGAACGTCTTTGCCGATTGTGAGCTTCCCGATGACTTCGGACGTGATTTTCAAAGTGCTTTTTTGACCGTGAGTTTTGACTAAAGAGGTCAAAGTCTTTGAACAGATCATCAAAGTTGAAATTAAATGACTGATGAAACGGGCTTCCATTATTTCCTTGTCCTCCATGACGGCCAAACTGATCATATTCTCTTCGTTTATTCTCATCTGATAATGTTTCATACGCTATTTCCATTAAAAAAAAATAAATTTACATTTTCATTTAATAAAAGAAAAAAGAAAACCATGCACATATACAAAGAATAGCAGCTTTTTCCCCACTCCCTCAACAGGACAAATTTCAAGCAAGATTTTCATTTGGCATGCAAGCCCAATCAAGCTCAATATTTGTTTAACTTTCTCCAAATCAAAATAAGCTGTTTCAAAATAAATAGTTACTTAAAATAATAAATATAGCTATAACATGAGAACATATTATAGCCTCAAAATATTAAATTTACATAATGCAACATAGGTTAACTACCAATAAAGATTACTGTTTATATTTGAAAGAAAATAGCAATGACACATGGTGATCAGAATGACTGAAGGAGAGAGGATGAGTCAGGAGCTCTTACAAAATGAACTGCTGCATTCCCATCACAGAAACACAGTGTGAGGTCTGCAAAACTACTTGCCAGCAGCCAGGAAGTTCTAGCTACCGCACAGTTACAACCAGGCACCAAGATAAACATAAAGGGAGATAAAATAAAGGCAATCAATTTCCACTATGTCCAAATTCTCAGTATTTCATAAGCTCAACAATGAGCTCAGATTTTGTGATTGGATATACGTGAAATGGATTTAGGTTTCCATCCAATCTTTGGTCCAGAACTCAAGCTACTGGTAGAAACTCTGACAGATAATATACCCCTTCTGGCAGCATTAAGTATTTAAAATGCTTCCATTTCTTTTTCTGTCAAAGGCTTGCAACTATTCTATATACTTCAACTTAAGAGTTCCCAATCCCTCCTGTAATAGATGCTAACAACTACAGTATCTAACAAGACTGTCCCTCCCTTTCATTATAATAATAGCTACCTTTCTTTCAAAAGAACTCTTCTGTAGACAAGAAGGTAAAACCCAGAAATCTATTATTAGCTTACTTAGGAGAACTATGAAGAGATGGATGTTATAACAGTCTGTGGGGAGCAGAAGCGGGAACACCTTATTTTTTGGCAAGCCTTTTTCTGTTCTTGATTATTCGCTTCCACCATTACACCTTATAACAAAGCATTTATGAATGCTGTATTCCTAAGGATCACAGGACAATTCAGGTTGGAATTCACCTCAGAAGGTCTCTACTCTAACCTCTAACTCCAGTTATAAGATCAATTAAGTTATTCAGGGCTTTATCCACTCACTCCAAGGAGATCGCACAATCTCTCTAAGCAACCTGTTCCAACATTGGCCTATCCCCAAGGTGAAAAACTTTTTCCTTATAACCACTCTGAACCTCTGGCACCTGTTGTCTCTTGTACTTCCACCATGAACCACTGAAGCACCTCACTGCATTTTTTTTATCTTCCTGTAGCTACTGGAAGGCTGCTGTTAGGTCCTCCTGAAGCCATAGGGACCCTAAGCTGGACCTTACTAAACAGATCAGAAGAATTAACCTCCTAGGGCTAAAGTTGTCCTACTGCCAAGTATTTTCTGTGACAAAAGGCATAAGCCAAAAAGCCTAATAAGCAGGAATACATAAACAGTGTAAGAGGCCTGCCTATGGGCAAGGACACAGAAACAGATCAGATATTGATATTGGCCTGGCCTGGTTTGAGCTAAATAGAACTAATTT